TTTTCTTTTAGTTGTTCTTTTGCTATTCATTTTCTTAAATAACAAAGCTATCTCTGAGCTCAATCCTCTGTTGTATTGTCTCTGGGTTGCAGGTTCTGCATCAACAGCTGCATACAAAAGGTGGGAGAAGGCTGCAATTGCTGGAGTTTCATTGGTAGCTGATGCAGCAGAACATTTGGAACGAGCAACTATTGATAAAGATGTCGGACTGGTCCAGAATTCGCAGGGTGGGTAGTTAATTGAAGCTTTCTTGTTCCCATTAAGGGTTGTTGATTCCGTCAAATGCATCTAACTTGCAGCTATCCTTTATATGAATAACTTGCAGCTATAAATGGTTTTGAACATGTTGGCAAAAATGTGCATTCTTTGCCGACTTTATCCCAAAATCTGTTAAACGAGACTAATTTACAGAGTTGTATGAAACTCAAGCTCCAGCTGTTTCCTGTTGATGAAGGAACTAGAAGATCCCTGGAAATGGTAGGTTAAGTAAATCTCTTTGCTGTTCTGTCATTAATTGGTTATAACATCTGATGTAAAACTTATTTGCCATCACTTCTCTTTCCATTCTGTGTCAGGATAATCATAACCCTTACTTGGAGCTCACTCTAAGTAATCGAAAAAAGATGTCATCCGTTTTGGAGCATCTCAATCGTAAATGGGGAAGTTCGAGCATAGCAACTGGAGAACTGGTGCTTTTTCCTTACCATGTACAGATGGAAAACCTGGTGCAATCCCTGAGATGGACCAAAGATACCACACAGAGTGCGGCTGATGTGCATAATCTGATCGGAAGCCCTCCAGTTTTTCGTCTCAGGTCCATGTTTTACGTTTTCTTTTTTATCTTTCAGAATATTATTTCTACAATAGTCGTGGGACTGATTTATTTATCCTTCTTTTAGATATGGTTGGTTTCCAAATGCTGAGCTTGGAACACCTCTTGAACTATTGTCATCTGCCATTCCGTTTATGCAAAATATTAACCCTAACATCACAAATGAAAATAATGCGGAAATACTAGCATCATCCCCTGGTAAACTTGTACGATTTTCTAAAGAACCACTAGCTTCTAACCCAAGAATGACTGTGACATCCTCCTCAATCAAGCTGTCTGGTGAGTCAAACTTGCAAGCAAGCATGGGTCTAAATACCTACACTTATGATCATGATGGAACTCTGCCATTGAATAGAAGGGAGAATGGGGATGCAACCACAGCAGAACAAGCTGAGATGGTATTTTTTTTCTGTAGTTCCATTCTCATTCTGGCTTCATTTGCTTAATAGAAACTCAGAGAACTGGCAATTCAGTTGAATTACTTTTGGCTCTTTTACTTTCAGCTTATCCTTATGTTTGCTTTTATTGTCTGCATTTTTGAGTGATGAATAAAGTCATAGCACTCCTTTCAACGTTACCAATTTTTTCTAAGAAGGGTCATAACACACCTTTCTGAAACTTACTGAGTTGTCCTATTACATGATGAACTTCAGCAAACTTGGTTGTCAGCTTTATAGGTGAGATATGTTGAAGACCACCTCATCTTGATGATGCAATAGCTTATTAAGGAAACAATTTTAGGTACAAATTTTTAAAGAGATGGTTGGCGATTTTGTCTAAGGTAGGAATCAAAGTAAAATCTGCTGGAAAATCATGTCGAAGAGGATAAGGACTTCCATAGGAAGAAACCACCTATTTGAGGTTGCATCCCAGGAGAGGTCATTTATAAAGGAGGGCACTTATCATGAAGATATGTTGATATGATCAGGGAGCAAATTATTGACAAAATTGGTCCAAGTAGAAAACCAGCCTACTTTAAGCTCACTGCTCTAGAGGGAGTGATTGAGGGGATCTAGGAACCAAGTGTTATTCCCAATTTAGACTGGACTGATCCTCTGCTGCTGTCTTGAGAAGTTTGTCCCGTGAAAAATATTTGAGTTAATTTTTACAGTCTAATTTATTCGAAAGATTGCCCAAAGGCTAAAAGCCTGAGTAGTTGATCCGGATATCTCTAAAATGATCAGTAAAATCCCTCCTGTTAAATTACCCATTGCAGAAGGAGCACTATTAGATAATAAGAAATTGTCCCCTTCAGATCAGCCATTAAAGAACTGGTACTCAGTACCCGATTTAGTGAAACTCAAGGGATATTGTAATACATTCTTCACTTAGCTCGTTTGTGTCTGATCGGTAAATAAAGCTATCAGTTTCGAATTCATGCCAATACAATGATTGTGTAAAACATGTTTTACTTGTTGGGGAGAAATTGAAGTCCTATCTTCAAATGTTCAAGTTGAAGCAAATGGATTTTGAGGTTCTCCCTGTTTGATTCTTTTTTCTTTTGGGATGTGTGTTGAAGGGATGTTTTGGAAGGATGTTGGATTGCATATCAATGAATTAGTTGCGAGTTGCTCATTATTCTTTTCCTGAATTTTTACTTGCTTCCTATTAGCATGATATGCAGGGAAGCAAGGCCAGTGCTTTGTCGGCAGGGGATTGGGAAGATAGCCTTACCAACATAAGTGTCGGAGATCTTCTCTTTGATGCACCTGATGATGAGGAAACAGACTGTATTGACTCAGCTTTGTGCGGAAGCTCTCATTTTCTCTCACAGATGCCATTAAGCTGTGACTCGTTTGATGCAGCGATTGCTGCTCATATATATAAACATCAAAGCAAAGCTGATTCTCAGATGGCTCTTCCACCTCAAGCATCTTCCATTTGGAATGCTGAAGATACATGTGATGCTTTTGCATTCAAGAAAAATGTTGCTTTCAGTGACAAATCGCAGTGTTCATCCAGCAATGTTGGTGCAGAGAATTCCCAGCGGATTGCTCAGTCATCTTCCCTGGTATTGGATGCAGTAATCAAGGTAGAATCTCATGAAAAATCACTTTGTGCTAGTTCAATATGGAGCGTATTCATCATTTTTTATTTCTTTTGCAGGATTTGCCTGGGAACATGGAGTCCTTTAACGGTGAACCTGCTCATGATGACGCAGTGGATGAGTGTCAATCGGATGCACAGGCGTTGGATGGTTCTTCAAAGGATCTTAATGGGCTCTCTGGCATATATTGGGTAAATCTTTCCTGCCTTTCTGCTATTAGTGATGTTTGCATCATTTATATATACAGCCATATAGTGTGTCAGCTTTAAGGGCATGTGTTTACCGAGTTCATCTCTTTCAACTCTGCAGACAGACTCTTTAGGACCGCTAGAACTGGACGCCCCTTCATGTAGATATCATAGTGAAGACATAACTCTGAGTGATAGTCTTGGTGGTTTTAACCGCCTCATAGTTAACAGTCTAGATGCATTCCAAAATTGCTCGTTCTTTGGGTTGGACAAAACAGAGCCTGGATCTACTGTTGAACCTGTAAAGACTTCAGATTTGAAGATCGGCGCTGAAGTCTAAGCTTCTCGACTAAAAAACTTAGTTCGGCTAACTTTATAGGTATGTCTCAACAATCTCAAGTCCAGAATTTCGTGCATGTGTGCAACGCGCAAGTATGCATAGCACTTTAAAAGAGAAAAAAAGGTTGAAATGGGACAAAGGTTCCCTCTCTAATGTACAAAATATAACTCTTGAGAGTACTTCAGGTGTCTCTGAATGTGTGTACATTGTGTAGAATTTTATGTGCAGCACGTAAAAATGCCAAATTATTTTTGTTTTTTTTTTTAAACTCATAAATGTTGCAAAATTCTCAACTTTGGCATAACAAGGTTTGATATTGATATTATATAATCGACAACCAACACAATGTGAAAGTTTATAAATGGATACTTCAATTTTGACTGTTCTTTTCGTAGAAGTCTATACTCCATGTAATGTTTATAAACCCCATACATTACCGTCAAAGGATATGGTGCAATGGTTCCTTGTGCAAAGGTTTTGCTTTCGAATCTCAGATACATTTTTTTTTTTAAGTAGGGTATGCTCTTCTCTAGTGGGTTCTATGCGACATGAATTTAGATTAGTTGGGTTTAATGAGGATATTTACCTTCCATGAAATAAAGTTAAATGCAGAGTCGGAATTTAGAGAAAAAGTCTCAAATCTATTTAAGATTTGAGAAAAAAATAATATACACGTAAAAAAGATTAAGTGATATTCATTCTATTTTAGTTTGCGTAACTATTTTTCCTTTTTAGTGAGTTTTAAAAGTCTTTTTCTGTTTGTTACATATATCATATGTCTTTCAATTTTAAAACAATGTGGTTTGGAATATCACTTAAGCAATATAGGGTTATTAATAGAAACTTATAAAAGTTGTTTAGCAATATAGTGTTGTTATTAAGAAAATTGCAAGGGTAAGGCAAATTTGATTCTTAATTTTAAAAATAGTCTATTAAAGTGCAATATTTAGCAAGATATGGTTTAAATTCTTTTAGAACAGTTACAAGAGGAAGAATACACTTTTTCATGTTAAGGTCGGGGCCGTTTAATAAAGACATTAACAGTTTTTTTCGTATTGAACAAGTTCTAAATTTTTTTATGAAGAGACATAATATGACGCGTTCACGATCTTTCATTAACTAAATTTAAATCTTTTTAGGTAATTAAATTTCATGAAAAAATACATTTTTTTTTTTTTACTAATGGGATAATTTTTTACCCCTTGACAAATTTGATGTTGAGATAATATTCAACTGACTAAATTTTATTTTTTTTCTCTGAAATAATAAAAGACAATAATTAGCCGGCAGGTGTCAATTTACTATCAACCAGAAAGTTACATTTTATTTTCTTATTATATACTTTTAGCAATCCCTCAGACTCAATCAACTAGAATTAGGTGTGCATCTATTCAAAATTTAAATTTGATTGACTTCGACCTTTACAATTTGTAATAATATTAAATATATTATATTTCAAAAATTATATATTTTAAAACATAATGCTTATTAAATTTTAGTAATTTTTTATTTAAACATTTCATATTTAAAATTAATTGATTCAATTAAGGCTTCTCATCAGAAATTTTGGTTTTTTTATATGGAGGAACTAGATGGGGTCGATATCTCAAAAGATTAGAGCATGTGACTACAAACCAATAGTGTCCAAAATGAAATTAGGTTTTCCTCTAGAGTAGAAATTTATGATTGGGATCAAATTCAATGCTCGAACTATAGACAGTTGATTAAGAGTTATTATAACAAGAATAGCTTTTAATGATAATAAATGTCTACATTAACAAAAAATATTAAAATCTTTATTGTCATTTGATTTAGTTTCGCTATAGGCTTTAGATATATTTATAAAAAGTCATTTCAGTTTGACTTTTTATTTTGACTTAAAAATAACTTTTTTAAATCAATTCAAACGGGATCTATATATAAGAGTAGCATTATCTGAAGAAGAATCAAAAAACAAGAATGGCAAAAAGCAACCAAAAACCTCATGCAATAGTAATTCCATGCCCATTTCAAGGCCACATAAACCCTAGTATTCACCTTTCACTAAAACTTGCAACAAAAGGCTTTACCATAACATTTATCAACACAAAGTATAGCCATGCCCAAATAACCAAATCACAAAAATTAGACCAAACTCATAACATATTTGCAAAATTTCAAGAACTTGGCCTTGACATACATTATCAAACAGTTTGTGATGGTTTTCCCTTAGAATTCGATCGATTTTCGGGGTCGAATACCGAGAAGTTTTGGGAAGGATTTTTACTAAATTACCCTTTTCATGTTGATGAAATTGTTGGGAAGTTAGTAGAATTGGATAGCCCTAGGCCAACTTGTTTGATTGTTGACACTTTCTATGGTTGGGGGACAACAATTGCTAATAAGTATGGACTTGTTAGTGTTTCATTCTTCACTCAACCTGCCTTGGTGTTTACTATAGACTATCATCTTGACCTTTTGCTCAAAAATGGTCATTTTGGCTAAATTGGTAAAGTTTCATTCTACCACTTTGTCTCTCTATTGTTCAGGCTCGTAAAAAAATGTTATCTTATTTGTGTCTGATATGATCCTCTATACTAGATTGGCTTTGAAAGATCTGATACACACCCTTCGACATTTTTCTAGAGTACGAGAGTAACATATATCACATGTTCATACAAAATTATTTACTTGTATTGATCAACTAACTTATAAGATAGTAGTAATTTCACTTCTTTTTTTTTTCTCTAAACAATAACACCATTTATGTACCGGAAATTTTTTGTTGGATTATTGGGTAGTGTAAAAATTCCTTACAATTAATTTGATTAAGTAAAAACAAAAATTTGAACAATCCACCTTTGCTATAACACGTTAGAATACACTGATCGTGTAAAAATACTTTACACTACGCAGGGGTATGAATAAGATTAAGATATATGAACTTTCTACGTCCTTAACCAAAGATCTAGTGTAAAAATACTTAAAAGGGATATTGGTTTCCCCTTTATTAGGGTCTACGTTGATCGAATCTCAATTAGTTGAGAAGTGCTAAATGGCCAGAAAATTTGGCCAAAAATTTTTAAAAACTATAATATCTTTTTTATTTAAAAAAAAAATCAATCTTTTTTTTTATTTTTTTAGTAAAAGGTATTAAAGATAAAAGGGTAAAAATGTTATAAAAAAGTAAAATTACATTAAAAAAATTTCATTTTGACCAAATTTTCTGGCCAAAAAGATTTTTCCATTCCGAATACCCTATAGTTATTATATATGAAAAAAAAAAAACTTACATTATTTATGTTTAATTAACTTCATTATGATGTTGATTACTAGGCTAACTTTTGCTATTTTTTAATTTTTTTAAATGATGTTGATTACTAGGCTAACTTTTGCTACTTTTTTTTTTTATTTTTTTAGATAATAGGAAGGATACCATATATTCTATACCAGGAATTTCAGCAATTGATCCAAGTGATTTACCTTCATATTTACAAACAAAAGAGACATCAACTATTCTTCATCAAATTATCTACAAAGGTTTTGAAGAAGCCAAGAAATCAGACATTATAATTTGTAACACAATACAAGAACTTGAATCCAAAGTAATTTCAATATTCCAAGAAAAAACAAAAAAACCCTTTTTTGCTATTGGTCCAATTTTTCATGATCATCAAGTCAACTCATCAAAAAATGTCAAATTTTCCAATAGTTTTTTGCCAGAGACAAATTGTTTGGAATGGCTAAACACTAAACCTAAATCCTCAGTATTATATTTTTCACTTGGTAGCTTGTTTAGTCCAAGCAAACAAGATGTTATGGAATTTGCTCAAGGAATATTGCTTAGCAAAGTGGAATATTTTATTTGGGTACTTAGACCTAATTTGGTATTTTTGACGTCGGAATCCGGATCACCCAAAAAATGGTGTGCTATAGCACACGAAAAATCGTCGAAATGAGCCGTATGCTCGCTTCGGGGCTCGTTTGACCCTCCAAATGGGTCAGACAAGCCGTGATGGCCAACCGTATGCATAGACAAGGTCTTGAAGGACGTCCACGAAAAAATTTGGCATTTTTGACGTCGGAATCCGGATCACCCAAAAAATGGCGTGCTATAGCACACCAAAATCGTCGAAATGAGGCGTATGCTCGCTTCAGGGCTCGTTTGACCCTCCAAATGGGTTGGACAAGCCGTGATGGCCAACCGTATGCATAGAAAAGGTCTTGACGGACGTCCACGAAAAAATTTGGCATTTTGTGACGTCGGAATCCGGATCACCCAATAAATGGTGTGCTATAGCACACGAAAATCGTCGAAATGAGGCGTATGCTTGCTTCGGGGCTCGTTTGACCCTCCAAATGGGCCGGACAAGCCGTGATGGCCAACCGTATACATAGACAAGGTCTTGAAGGACGTCCACGAAAATTTTTGGCATTTTTGACGTCGGAATCGGATCACCCAAAAAATGGTGTGCTATAGCACACGAAAATCGTCGAAATGAGGCGTATGCTCGCTTCGGGGCTCGTTTGACCCTCCAAATGGGTCGGACAAGCCGTGATGGCCAACCGTATGCATAGACAAGGTCTTGACGGACGTCCACATAAAAATTTGGCATTTTTGACGTCGGAATCCAAATCATCCAAAAAATGGTGTGCTATAGCACACGAAAATCGTCGAAATAAGGCGTATGCTCGCTTCGGGGCTCGTTTGACCCTCCAAATGGGTCGGACAAGCCGTGATGGCCAACCCTATGCATAGACAAGGTCTTGTCAGACGTCCACGAAAAAATTTGGCATTTTTGACGTCGGAATCCGGATCACCCAAAAAATGGTGTGCTATAGCACACGAAAATCGTCGAAATGAGGCGTATGCTTGCTTCGGGGCTTGTTTGACCCTCCAAATGGGTCGGACAAGCCGTGATGGCCAACCGTATGCATAGACAAGGTCTTGACGGATGTCCACGAAAAAATTTGGCATTTTTGACGTCGGAATTCGGATCACCCAAAAAATGGTGTGCTATAGCACACGAAAATCGTCAAAATGAGGCGTATGCTTGCTTCGGGGCTCGTTTGACCCTCCAAATGGGTCGCACAAGCCGTGACGGCCAACCGTATGCATAGACAAGGTCTTGACGGACGTCCACGAATCCGGATCACCCAAAAAATGGTGTGTTATAGCACATGAAAATCGTCGAAATGAGGCGTATGCTCGCTTCGGGGCTCGTTTGACCCTCCAAATGGGTTGGACAAGCCGTGATGGCCAACTGTATGAATAGACAAGGTATTAACGGACGTCCACGAAAAAATTTGGCATTTTTGACGTCGGAATCCGGATCACCCAAAAAATGGTGTGCTATAGCACACGAAAATCGTCGAAATGAGGCGTATGCTCGCTTCGGGGCTCGTTTGACCCTCCAAATGGGTCGGACAAGCCGTGATGGCCAACCATATGCATAGACAAGGTCTTGACGGACGTCCACATAAAAATTTGGCATTTTTGACTTCGGAATCCAAATCATCCAAAAAATGGTGTGCTATAGCACACGAAAATCGTCGAAATAAGGCGTATGCTCGCTTCAGGGCTCGTTTGACCCTCCAAATGGGTCGGACAAGCCCTGATGGCCAACCATATGCATAGACAAGGTCTTGACAGACATCCACGAAAAAATTTGGCATTTTTGACGTCGGAATACGGATCACCCAAAAAATGGTGTGCTATAGCACACGAAAATCATCGAAATGAGGCATATGCTCGCTTCGGGGCTCGTTTGACCCTCCAAATGGGTCGGACAAGCCGTGATGGCCAACCGTATGCATAGACAAGGTCTTGACGGACGTCCACGAAAAAATTTGGCATTTTTGACGTCGAAATCTGGATCACCCAAAAAATGGTGTGCTATAGCACACGAAAATCATCGAAATGAGGCGTATGCTCGCTTCGGGGCTCGTTTGACCCTCCAAATGGGTCGGACAAGCCGTGACGGCCAACCGTATGCATAGACAAGGTCTTGACGGACGTCCACGAAAATTTTTTGCATTTTTGACGTCTGAGTCCGGATCACCCAAAAAATAGTGTGCTATAGCACACGAAAATCGTCGAAATGAGGCGTATGCTCGCTTCGGGGCTCGTTTGACCCTCCAAATGGGTCGGACAAGCCGTGATGGCCAACCGTATGCATAGACAAGGTCTTGAAGGACGTCCACGAAAAAATATGGCATTTTTGACGTCGGAATCCGGATCACCAAAAAATGGTGTGCTATATCACACGAAAATCGTCGAAATGAGCCGTATGCTAGCTTCGGGGCTCGTTTGACCCTCCAAATGGGTTAGACAAGCCGTGATGGCCAACCGTATGCATAGACAAGGGCTTGGAGGACGTCCACGAAAAAATTTGGCATTTTTGACGTCGGAATCCGGATCACCTAAAAAATGGCGTGCTATAGCACACCAAAATCGTCGAAATGAGGCGCATGCTCGCTTCAGGGCTCGTTTGACCCTCCAAATGGGTTGGACAAGCCGTGATGGCCGACCGTATGCATAGAAAAGGTCTTGACGGACGTCCACGAAAAAATTTGGCATTTTGTGACGTCGGAATCCGGATCACCCAATAAATGGTGTGCTATAGCACACGAAAATCGTCGAAATGAGGCGTATGCTTGCTTCGGGGCTCGTTTGACCCTCCAAATGGGCCGGACAAGCCGTGATGGCCAACCGTATGCATAGACAAGGTCTTGAAGGACGTCCACGAAAATTTTTGGCATTTTTGACGTCGGAATCCGGATCACCCAAAAAATGGTGTGCTATAGCACACGAAAATCGTCGAAATGAGGCGTATGCTCGCTTCGGGGCTCGTTTGACCCTCCAAATGGGTCGGACAAGCCGTGATGGCCAACCGTATGCATAGACAAGATCTTGACGGACGTCCACATAAAAATTTGGCATTTTTGACGTCGGAATCCAAATCATCCAAAAAATGGTATGCTATAGCACACGAAAATCATCGAAATAAGGCGTATGCTCGCTTCGGGGCTCGTTTGACCCTCCAAATGGGTCGGACAAGCCGTGATGGCCAACCGTATGCATAGACATGGTCTTGTCAGACGTCCACGAAAAAATTTGGCATTTTTGACGTCGGAATCCGGATCACCCAAAAAATGGTGTGCTATAGCACACGAAAATCGTCGAAATGAGGCGTATGCTTGCTTCGGGGCTTGTTAGACCCTCCAAATGGGTCGGACAAGCCGTGATGGCCAACCGTATGCATAGACAAGGTCTTGACGGACGTCCACGAAAAAATTTGGCATTTTTGACGTCGGAATTCGGATCACCCAAAAAATGGTGTGCTATAGCACACGAAAATCGTCAAAATGAGGCGTATGCTTGCTTCGGGGCTCGTTTGACCCTCCAAATGGGTCGTACAAGCCGTGACGGCCAACCGTATGCATAGACAAGGTCTTGACGGACGTCCACGAATCCGGATCACCCAAAAAATGGTGTGTTATAGCACATGAAAATCGTCGAAATGAGGCGTATGCTCGCTTCGGGGCTCGTTTGACCCTCCAAATGGGTTGGACAAGCCGTGATGGCCAACCGTATGAATAGACAAGGTCTTAACGGACGTCCACGAAAAAATTTGGCATTTTTGACGTTGGAATCCGGATCACCCAAAAAATGGTGTGCTATAACACACGAAAATCATCGAAATGAGGCGTATGCTCGCTTCGGGGCTCGTTTGACCCTCCAAATGGGTCGGACAAGCCGTGATGGCCAACCATATGCATAGACAAGGTCTTGACGGACGTCCACATAAAAATTTGGCATTTTTGACTTCGGAATCCAAATCATCCAAAAAATGGTGTGCTATAGCACACGAAAATCGTCGAAATAAGGCGTATGCTCGCTTCAGGGCTCGTTTGACCCTCCAAATGGGTCGGACAAGCCGTGATGGCCAACCGTATGCATAGACAAGGTCTTGACAGACATCCACGAAAAAATTTGGCATTTTTGACGTCGGAATCCGGATCACCCAAAAAATGGTGTGCTATAGCACACGAAAATCATTGAAATGAGGCGTATGATTGCTTCGGGGCTTGTTTGACCCTCCAAATGGGTCGGACAAGCCGTGATGGCCAACCGTATGCATAGACAAGGTCTTGACGGACGTCCACGAAAAAATTTGGCATTTTTGACGTCGAAATCTGGATCACCCAAAAAATGGTGTGCTATAGCACACGAAAATCGTCGAAATGAGGCGTATGCTCGCTTCGGGGCTCGTTTGACCCTCCAAATGGGTCGGACAAGCCGTGACTGCCAACCGTATGCATAGACAAGGTCTTGACGGACGTCCACGAAAAAATTTTACATTTTTGACGTCTGAGTCCGGATCACCCAAAAAATAGTGTGCTATAGCACACGAAAATCATCGAAATGAGGCGTATGCTCGCTTCGGGGCTCGTTTGACCCTCCAAATGGGTCGGACAAGCCGTTATGGACCACGAAAAAATTTGACAATTTTAACGTCGAAATCAGGATCACCCAAAAAATATTGTGCTATAGCACACGAAAATCGTCGAAATGAGGCGTATGCTCGCTTCGGGGCTCGTTTGACCCTCCAAATGGGTCGGACAAGCCGTGATGGCCAACCGTTTGCATAGACAAGGTCTTGACGGACGTCCACAAAAAATATGGCATTTTTGAAGTCGGAATGCGGATCACCCAAAAAATGGTGTGCTATAGCACACGAAAATCGTCGAAATGAGG